TCCTTACACATTCCTTTTACTAAAGGAAGGAGGTGGAGCAGAACCCAGCTCACTCCTTCCCCACTTTTTTAGTTCAGAAGCTACATAAGCCAAGGCAACCAGCCAAGATCCCAAATTAACCCAGACCATAATTTTTCTTCTAATACTTGAAGCCTTGGCAAGTTCTGGGCATAATGCCAGACGCTTTCTATCCTAGGCTATGAAGGCCATCATTACCTAAATAAAATTGTGCCTGAAATAGAAGACTCAGCTCTTTAATTCGTTAGTGACATTTGCTTCATGCCATTATAATTTACTAGCCTTGGGAGCTACAGAGCACCCTGATGATGATGAATTTCCTATTCATCACTTTCTTATTCACATTTAACCTGAAGTATTATACAGTTTCACCAGACTCAGATTAATAGGCAAATAGAAGTTTAAAGAATAAATTACTTGACCCTTGACCAATAGAAGGTCTAAGTCTGTGTAAGTATAAGCAAACACCACCTTCTCTGCAGGTGAGTTTCCCCATCTGCAAAATGGGAACCACAGTGGTACCCACGTGGCTAGGCTCAGACAAGATGCCAAACAAAGCTTGCACAGAGCAAGCATCCAAACATATTAATCATCATTTTCATTATTATTGTTAGTGTGGAAGCCCATATGTTCCCTTTCCTCTAAACTTACTTGGAGTATAGACGATCTTTCTGAGTCCAAAGTAACCTCAATTATTAATCAGGTTTAAAATTTTTCTACCTTAGAATTGTTTGGGGTTTTGTTGTTGTTTGTTTTACTTCTGTGAAGAGAGCTAACATAAAGAGATAATACAATTTATTTTAAAAGTAATTTTCTTATTACTGTTTGGTGAAGGGTGGATATTAAAAGCAGATATTAAAAGTTATTTTTGGACACTGTCCATTCTGTGTTTCTAGAAAGAATTCCAAAATGCTGAAGAAATTGCTAAGAAGAGTTTAAGATGGAATGGAGAGCAACAGAGCCATATAAAGGGTTTTGTAATGAGACAGAATTTATCACTCTGACTCTGGTCTTGCCCTCCACGTGTGGCCCTTTCTCCTTATAGCAAAATAATGTAAATGGCTTGGTGTGATCAGAGGCGCTTTAACGCAGAATATGCAGAGGGTGGGGTGGGGGTGGGGGGATGTTTCTTTAACTGAGGAATGTACTTTATTAGTAGTGATTTGTCTAATATCCATATTATTATCCTGCAAAATCTAGTGTATTATGTTGTAAACATTTAAAATTCCTCTAAGTATGGGGGCCCCTGGCTGGCTTAGTAGAGTAGGCGACTCTTGATCTCAGGTTCATGAGTTCAAGCCTCATGTTGGGTGTGGAGCCTACTTAAAAAAAAAAAAAAAAAAAATTCCAGAGGCACCTGGGTGGCTCAGTGGGTTGAGCATCTGACTCTTGATTTTGGCTTCCGTCATGATCTCGGGGTCGTGGGATCGAGCCCTGCATGGGGCTCCGTGCTCAGCAGGGAGTCTATTTCTCTCCTTCTCTCTCCCTTTGCACACACCCCCCCACTCAGGCACGTGCGTATGCACACACTCTCTCTCTCTCTCTCTCAAATAAATAAGTAAATCTTAAAAAATATTCCTCTAAGTACTCATTCACTTAATAAATTAAACAAATGAATATAAAAAAATAAGAGTTCCTAGACATTTAAATGCTGATTGTAACTTAAATTTTTCTTGCCTAATATATCAGATTCTTGCAAATGCTTTAAAGCCTTTTAAGAATAGATACAGAACAACACAATAATTGCAGAACAGATGCATACATGTAGGCTATCACTGGTTATAAAAGGGTTAATACCACGATTTAGAATTTTCTTTGTCTTTTTTTACCCCAACAGGGAGATTCCTATCATAAAAGCCTAGAGTGTTTCTCACCTAACTGCTCATCTTCTCAGATCTAAACCCTTGGCATTCATCCAATTTCACTTGCCAGATTAGGATGCATAATCATTTGGGACCTTCCTCTATTTTAAAACTGAAATGAGGATTACTAGTTCATCCATATTTCTATTGTATTTCAGTTACAGAGTAATCGAAGGTTTGTGCTTTTTAAGCCTTCCAGATATAAACAGATTTGCCTGAATCTAATAATAATCTAGGTAGGGGGAATTATAATTTAGAATTATCCTGGATGAAGAAATACCAGTTAGCCATGTGTAAATTGTGCTGGTGTCTCATACTTACAGTTCTTATTCACCCCCCTTTTTTTCCCTTAGTCTTTCTTCCCCTCCAAATCAGGCTCTACTAAGAATGTGATCCTTAATATAAAGGGGTGGGATGTGCTCTGGAAAAACCACCTCCGTAGTGACTAGAGCATCTATCCCAGCCACTGCCACTCACTCAGGAAGGGATTCAGAGCGTCCTGGCACGCTGCTGCCCCCTGCTCAGTCTCTGGCAATCCCAAGGGCCCTGGACAGATCGAAAGCATACCTCCTGGCTGGCTTTGCCAGCACTGTTGCTGAACAAACTCAGATGAACTCATTGCCTGAGAGGCCAGTAATTCAAGAGAGGAGGGTTTGGAAAAGAGAAAGGGAGAAATTTATTTTGGGTGCCAGCAGCCCGGGCAGGTGACAGGCTCAAAGCCTTAACAACCGACCTCTCTGCCCCCAAGCTGGACACTCAGAGTTTGAGAGAGAGAGAGAGAGGTTCAGGACGGGTGGGGGTGGGGTGTTCAAGAGAGCAGGCAGGGAGCACGGGACCACGGGTGAGGGGGCAGGAGGTGTTCAGCTCAGGATCATGGGCAGGGAAGGGGACGACTGTGGGGTGTGGTCTTCTAGGCATTCCGCTGCTATCAGGGTTTTTCTGCTCTGGTGGTTGGGATGTTCTGGTCGTTGCGAAACACTTCCATGGATGCCTCAAGAAAGTGCGATAAGAAAGAAGCACTGTGGGTTTCAGTTAGAGCACTCGTTAAGCAGGCTTGTTTATTTCTGCCTTTAACTGCTGGGGTCTATAGTTGCGCAAGAGGGCTCGCTAACAGCATCACCATGGAGACAGGACTGCAGCTTCCCCATGTCACAGCTGCTGTTCCTGGGAAGGACTGTCCCTCTTTGCAGCTCTGGACTTACGCTCCCTACCTTCAGTCTGGACTCCTAATGAACTGGCCCATTTGAAGTGGAGGGAATTATTATCATCCAGTAGGCAAATGAACAGGTGTGCTTTTCAAGAACCACCAGAACAACCAAAAAGTAAAAATGATGGGGGTCACAGAGTTTGGAAGGATGCTGGCGAGGGGCAACCCCTGTCTGCCTGCAGGTGAGCAGAGCCGTTAGCTGCTGATCAAGAGTGTGTGAAGAACCGTTTCTAAGCCACACCGCCAGGTATCCCTGAATCCAGACTGCACTGGGACCCACAGATGTGTCAAGTGGGGCTATTTACAAGAGCTAAAGAACACTTTCCTTGGGCGAGAGGACTTCAAAGAGTTATCTGGTCCATCACCTTCAGTAACAAAACAGTGAACTTGAAGGGTGAAAACCTCACACAAATGTTTCTGGAGATCAGTACAGATGGTAAGCCTTTTACTTTTAGATAAAAAAGAGACTACTGGCATGGAAATTTTCAAGACAAAAGGGAAAGCCAGGCAAGGATCACCAACTTTGAGGAAAATACATACTATGGAAGAGAAAGACCAGAATTAACAGGGAAAATAGTCCCCAGAAGAAAGAAATAACAGAGTCAGTCCTCTAGAACTGGAAAAGACCAGTTAGCATCTTCAGGAAGATTTCAGGGATATTTAATCTGTAAAACTAAAACACAGTCCCATAAAAAAGGGACATCGCAGAACAACAAAGAGCATTCAGTAAATAAAAATGTGATGGTTAAAATGGGGGAAAAAATCAGTATAAAACCTGAAAAACGCAGGCAGGGAATTCTAAATGAAAGTTAAAAAAGGCAAAGAGTTGGAACATGTGAGAGAAAAACCAGTAAAAAGCATTGAAGTCAGTTAGGGAGGTCCAAATTTGATGAACAATATTCTAAAGAGAGAAAGCAGAGAAGACAGAAGGAAGGAAATCCTTAAAAGCCACCGAACGGACAAAACAGGAAACAATTTCCCTGAACAGAAGCTTTCGGGCTTCATAGTGGAAGGGCTCCCCATGTGTCCATTTGCCTAAACAAAAAGGAGCCAGGCTGAGAATTGGTCTCCCCCAGTCCCTGCTGGTCTCAGGTCATTAATCCAATTCGGCATCTCCCACTGCGTCCCCCTCCCCAGACTCCATGGCCTCCCTGGGTTTACAAAAGAGTAGCCCACCACACACACAAAATCTAACAATAACAAAATATTTAAAAACCATACCAGAACTCTAGTGCTGCCCAATCACAGGATGCCCCTGAGACACTGACAGAATATTTCAGTTTCTTTTGGAAAGCAGCACTTTAAGCAAATTCGTAATGAACAGAAATAGCTCTGTATCTCCAGTCTATCAAAATGCCTTGAGAAGATATGCAGAGGAGGACAGTGGAAAGAGAAGTTGAGGGTGTGTGTGGCTGAAATTCAGACACACCTTTCCTGAATTAGACATGAAACGAAGAGCCCCATGGAAAACCATTCACTTGCCAGTGTACCAACTCCTGGAACAGAAACCCATGACCTAGAAATTTCTGAAATAAAACCTATGGCTACTTTCAAACGCTTATCCCAGAAAGCATACTTTAATTTATTTTTAAGATTTTAAGTAATTTCTACACTTTACGTGGGGCTTGAATTCACAACCCTGAGATCAAGAGTCTCGTGCTCTTCCCATTGAGCCAGCCAGGCGCCCCAAGAAAGCATACTTTTATAACTGCTCTAAGATGTTCTCAGAAGTTGCCTAAACCGAAACCGATTTCTCTCATTTAAAAATGTATAGCTGTTATTATTCTGACTTGTGTTTATTGCTTGCTTGCTTGGGGGGGGGGGGCGGCGGATAGGTTCCACACAAGCCGGGACGTTGTGTGTCTTGTCCATTTCTCTACCCATTGTCTAAGACTGTGCCTGGCACATTGTAGGTATGCTGTTACCGTTGAATGAACGAATGAACGAATGAATGAATGAACCAACCAACCAACAAACAGAACTTCCAGCTGTGCAGTTTTCTTTGGGCCTCGGGAGACTCCCCAGTCCAAACTGTGGTTGTTGGTGTTGACAGTCAAGCTTCTCCCTGATTCGATCCTTGGCTCAGATTCAAGGACTTCTAAAGAGAGCTTCTTTCCCATCCCTGTTGTCAGCCCAGTGAACGTAAGTGGAAAAAGTTAAGGTGGGCAAAGGCAGTATTTGCTATGACAAAACATAAATGTCCATCAGTGGAGAATGGGGGAAATGTTGGGATTTGAGGGGGCGAAAAATGATACTGCTCTCTTTCCCTCTTGAGAGGGAATTTTTCTTCCTTTCTTCCCTCCCTTCCTCTCCTCCCCCCCCCTTTTTTTTTTGAAGATTTCTTTGAGAGCATGAGCGAGCGTGGGGTGGGAGGGCAGGGGGGAGGGGCAGAGGGAGAGGGAGAGCGAATCTCAAACAGACTCAGATTCAGTGCTGAGTGGGGAGCCCGATGTGGGGCTCGATCCCTCCACCCTGAGATCATGACCTGAGCCAATGTCAAGAGTCAGACACTTAACCGACAGAACCACCCAGCTGTCTCTCCCTCTCCCCATCTCCCTCCCCCTTCTCCTCCCCTTCTCCCCCCCTCTCTCCCCCTCCCCCCACCTTTCTAAGGAAAAGTCCTAATTCAAAGTCCACATAGAGATTCACTGGAGAATGGGACTAAAATGTGAGGCCGTGGGTAGGCTTACTGCTGGAGGCAAGCCAAAGGAGCATCCCCCAGGGCCACCACTCTGACCAAAGCCCAGAAAGGACGGGCCACTTGGGCCCTTGTGCCCCGTTTCTCCTCCTGGCCTAATCCATCAGATAAATCACTCCTACTGAGGGGACAGAATCAGTCATACTGTTACACCCTGGGGGTGGAAATTCCCTCAGGAAACATGTGGGAGAGGAGTAAGGTTTCCTACCAGATAAATCGTCTGTGGAACATCCAATGTTATAATACGTGTCCATTTACAAGAACAAAGTCAGGTGCACATTTACTGACACAGGAAAAGCTCCAAAGGATATTACAAGTGAAGGGAAGATTGCAATGCTATGTATGACCTGATTTTTGCAAAAATAAATGAATAATTCTAAGCCATGTTAGCACATGAATATATAAGGGAAAGAAAGAGGTCTATGCATAAACTTAGTGATGGCTATCTTTGGGGTGGAATTATCAGGGATGTTTATTATTATTATACTATAGTTGTGATGATGATATCTGAATTTTGTATAACAGAAAGGCATTTCTTTTATAATCAGAAAAAAGAAAGGAGTAAAAAAAAAAGAGGATTAAATGAGAAGAAGATTTTTCTTTTTTTCATCCTAGAATCGCCTTGAGGAGTAAGAGACAAGCTAAATGGGTGTCTCGAATGACTGGCCATGCAGGTGGCCTTGCCCGTGGGTGCTGGCATACATGCTGAGAGCAAGGGGTTTGGCCGCCCTGTACCCTCACTGCCTCTCCATGCTGTCCCCTCAGTGGGCCTCCTGTTGCCCTGTCCCCGCTTCCTCCTGCTACTTTGGGACAGGAAACTGCACTCTGGGACCCGAGCGCTATGGCCTCAGAAGAACGTGCACGGGCTTTGGTGTAGGTGGGCCAAGGCTCAAAGGCTAGTGCTGACACGTCTGTCCTTAGGGTTTGACTTTGGGCAAATCACTTAACCACAGATCTTGGTCAAAACTCATCAGACTACACAGTTACAATGGGTGCCTTCTATTGTATGTAAATTCTGTCTGAATAAAGTTGATTTTATTTTTAAAAAATATAAAGGAAGTCAAATCACATTAGTCCTCTGCTCAAAACCTGTCACAATCTCCTTGTCACTCCGGGGTAAAAGCCTTACTCCAGCCTCTGGGACCTTTCCCGATCTGCACCTTCCCTGTAGCCGGCCATCTTATTTCCCACAGTCCTCACCACGGACTCCACTCCTTCTCCTGTGGTCTCCTCAGTGTTCCCCAAATAAGCCGGCATGCTCACCCGGCCACTCTCCCAGACAGCTACATCCACCCTCTTCTCCGTAGATCTATGCTCAAATTCCATCTTCTCAGTAAGATCCATCCTGACAATCCCATTTAAGATTGCATTCTGGACATCTTTTTTTTTTTTTTAGATTTTATTTGTCAGAGAGAGAGAGAGCACAAGCAGAAGGAGGGGCAGGCAAGGGAGAAGCAGGCTCCCTGCTGAGCAGGGAGCCCGATATGGAACTTGATCCCAGGACCCTGGGATCATGACCTAAGCTGAAGGCAGATACGTAACCAACTAAGCCACCCAGGCATCCCTCTGGACATCTTTTTATTCATTTTCATCCATGTGCTGATCCTTCCCTATCTGCTGGCAGGATTGCAAATTGGCATAGCCACTTGGAGGGCAATCTGACATTGTATATTGAAATATAACATGGGCTTGTCCTACAACTCAGTGATTATACTCCTCTGTTTCTATCCTAGAAAAACACCCACATATGTGCATGAGGAGGCATATATTAGGATGCGTATTGCAGTAGAGTCTAAAACGATAAAAAAATAATAATAAATGGAGGTAAAAAGTCCACCAGTAGGGGGTTGGTTAAATATATCAACATGTATTTGTTCAGCATTTAAAGAGAATTAAATATATCTACTAATGGGGGTGGATCTCCAAGACGTAGTGTTGAATGAAGGAAATGAAAATTTTTTATCAAAAAGTCAAAGAAGAATGGGTGTGGCTAGAAATAGTAGCACCAGGAATCTTTGCAGTGATAGAACAGTTCTGTACGTTGACTGTGGTAGTGATTAGAAAATCTACACATATGATACTGTTACATAGAATTGTACACACACAACATACACAACTAAGTGCATGCAAAACCAGTGGAATGTGAGTAAATTCTGTGCATTGTTCCAGTGTCAGCGTCCTGGTTTTGATAGTATACTACTATAACTATTTAAGATACTACCATTGGCTGAGGCTGGGTAAAAGGTGTACGGTCTCCTATGTTATTTGTGCACATTCCCATGACTCTATAATTACTTCAAAATAGAAAGTTAAAAATGAAGAAATAAAAAAATAAATGTTGATGTATTGGAAGACTTAGTTTGATGATATCAGATCTCCCTAAATTGGCTACAGCCAACACAGTCTCAAACTTTTTAAAAGCAACTTGACAAACTGGTTCCAAAATTTATACAGAAATGTAAAGAGCCAAGAACCACAAAAAAAAAAAAAAAATCTTGAAAAAGAATGAAGAGAACTTATTCTACCAGACATGAAGATTTATTATAAAATAAGGAATAATATGTAACAAGGAAGTATGGTATTGGCACAAGAATGAACCAGTTGATCAATGGAACAGAATAGAGCATGTGGGAGTGGGGGTGAGGAACCATGAATGTAATAACACTTGATTCATGACTCAGCGGGCACTGAAAAATAAAGGGGAAGAATGGACTTTTCAATAAAAGGTATTGGAAAGTCTGGGTATTTGTATATAAAAAATAAAATTAGATCCCTATCTCACGCATAACACAAAAATCAACTGAGCCATCATAAAACTGCTTCAATGAGCAATTATGAACACACTTAAATGAAAAAACCGATTCAGGAAAGATGTATATAAAGAAGAATTCAATGACAACTTTATGATGGAAACATATAATAACCTAAATTTTAAAACTCAGTGGATGGACGTAAAAGAGAATGGAGAGGACAGAGGAAAGAATCAGTGAACTTGAAACAGAATTCTATGAAATGTTTAAATAATTAATACTAATTCTACACAATCTCTTCCAGAAAATAGAAGAGGAGGAAATACTTTTTAACTCAGATGAGGTGGCCAGTATTACTCTGATACCAAAACCTGACAAAGATACACAAACACAAATAAAACTATAAATGAATATAACTCTTGAATATAGATGCTCATTTTATTTGTTTATTTATTTGAGAGAGAGAGACACAGTGAGAGAGGGAACACAAGCAGGGGGATGGGAGAGGGAGAAGCCAGTGCAGGGCTTGATCCCAGGACCCTGGGATCATGACCTGAGCCAAAGGCAGACACTTAATGATTAAGCCACCCAGGAGCCCCTAGATGCTCATTTTAAACAAAATATTAGCAAGAATTAGTAATATATAAAAAGAATTCTACATCGTGACCCAGTGGGGCTTATTCCAAGGATGCAAGGCTGGTTCAGTAATTGAAAATCAACCAATGTAGGGGTGCCAGGGTGGCTCAGTCAGTTAAGTGTCTGCCTTTGGCTCAGGTCATGATCTCGGGGTCCTGGGGTCGAGCCCTACATAGGGCTCCTTGCTCAGTGGGGAGCCTCTTTCTCTCTCTCCCTCTGCCCTTCCCCCTGCTTGTGCTCTTTTCTCGCTAATAAATAAAATCAGGAAAAAAAATCAATGTAATCCACCATATTTTTTTAAAATTTTTAAAACATTTTTAAATTTAAATTCAATTAACATATAATGTATTATTAGTTTCAGAAGTAGAGGTCAGTTATTCATCAGTCTTACGTTATACTCACTGCTCATTATTACATCAACCATATTAACAGACTAAAGAAGAAAATTACATAGTCTTGCAGATACAGAAAAATATTTGACAAAATTCAACACCCACCCATGGTAAAAACTCAGAAAACTGGAAATAGAAACTTCCTTGATTTGATAAAAGTCATATGCAAAAAACCTACGGAGAACATCATACCTAATGGTGAAAGACTGAATGCTTTCTCATTAAGGGTAGGAACAAAGCAAGGAAGCCCACTCTTACCACTGACACTCAACATAGTACTGCTAGTCCTAGCTGGTGAGGTGAAGCCAAACAAGAAAATAAAAAGGGACATGGATTGGAAAGAAAGAAAGAAAGACATTACTACTTGCAGATGACATAATGATCCACACAGAAAATGCCAAGGAATCTACAAAAAAAACCAAAAACCAAAACCCTCTTACAACTAATAAGTGAGTTCAACAGGGTTGCAGAATATAAAATCAACATACAAAAATCAACTACATTTCTACATTCTAGCAATGACCACAAAGAACCAAAATTTAAGATATAATACCATTTACAACCTCTCAAAAAAAATACACATAAACCCAACAAAATATAACATTTGTATATAACCCAACATTAACTTGCATGCTGAAAGCTACCAAAGACTAATGAAAGAAATCA